GGTAATGGGAAGTCAGGGTGGACTTGCGGCTGAAGGATTTCCCACATTGAGTACATTCATAAGGCTTCTCTCCAGTATGAATCCTCTGATGTCTAATAAGGTCTGCTCTGTGGTGGAAAACCTTCTCACAATCATTACATCGATAAGGTCTGTCACCAGAGTGAATTTTGTAATGGGAAGTCAGGGTTGACTTGCAGGGGAAGGACTTCCCACATATAGTACATAGAAAAGCATTCTCTCTCATGTGAATTTTCTGATGGGAAGTTAGGTGCACATGCTGTCGGAAGGCCTTTCCACATTCTTTACACTCATAAGGCTTCTCTCCTGTATGGATTCTCTGATGTTCAGTAAGTCCTGACCTCTGATGAAAGGCCTTTCCACATTCCTCACATTCATAAGGTCTGTCACCAATATGAAGTCGGTAATGGGAAGTCAGGGTGGCCTTGCGGCTGAAGGATTTCCCACACTGAGTACACACATAAGGCTTCTCTCCAGTATGAATTCTCTGATGGTCCCTAAATCCCGATCTCTGTTGAAAGGCTTTCCCACATTGCTCACATCCATAAGTCTCTCTGGAAGGAATCTTCTGATATTCAGGAAGTCTTACATGTCCACAGAAGACCTTGCCATAGTCATTATATTCACAAAGTTCCTCTCCTTCGCTGCTCCACTTCTTCTTAAGCCAGGCACCACATTCCAAGTCTTCTCCCAACGGGAAGACATAAGCATCATCTGTTAGAAATTTCTCATGGGACGACACTTCCATAGAAAGGCCCAATTCTGGATATAACTGTGTGGTTTCAGGCCTAGTTTCAAAATCTGAAAGAAATTAAAAATATAAACATTCCCTGATTCCCACATAGTACACTTAACTTTATCTTCTGTTTTCTCCATCCAGAAAAACCACTGTCAAACTTTAAAACATGGAACAGATGATGCTGCAGTTTTCACCTTACTCCTCAAAACAACTAGGTGACAGTAGATGGAAGGAAGGAAGGAAGGAAGGAAGGAAGAAAAAGAAAGAAAGGAAGGAAGGAAGGGAAGAAGCAAGGAAGAAAGAAAAAAAGGAAGGAAGGAATCTGCATCCTATAAGCCAGTGAGTTTGTTTCCTACAAAGTTTATAGGACCTGTTGTTAAATGGAGGGCTAAGGAAAAAGAGGCAGAGTTAATTTCCAGCAATCCTAGCACTACAAAGACTGAGAGCCTATGACAGGACTCCATCACATGATGGAAGAATACCCCACCCTAACCTTTCTTTCCTTTTTGCTATGGTTACTATGTTCAGAGATCACGCTAAAGCCTTAGATCTACTTAATCCAGATTTGGATAAGGTCCTTCAAGACAGATGAGAAAGACAGAATCACTGTAGAATCCATTTTTAGATATCAGCTACTACCAAATGAAATCAAAGTTTCTTAATAAAAGTGACATGACAAAAAGTTTCTTAATAGAAATAATAAAAATGTATGAGGACGCACAAATGGTCAAGAACATTAAGGAGAAGGAGGCAGATGGGAAATGAGGAAAAGGACTTAGATGTCCGTAAGTCAAGTAACTCTACAAAGCAAATTTTACCAAAACTGTCTGGTGTTTGCTAAGAGCTAGGAAAAGATACTAATGGACATAAAAGATAATCTGAATGAGAATGTAGGATACAGGGTCAGACAAATCCAAGATCATGCCAAAATGGGCAAGAAAATAATTAGTCAATAAGATTTGTTATAAAATTATATAGTCATGTCACAATCAATTAGATACATCCACATCTCACACTGTATGTTACGGGAAATTGTCGAAGGGTCATTACACAAATTATAAGAGAATAGAAGGTACATGGTAAAAATTTTAAAACAAAAATTATACATGTAGTACAATTAGTAAGAAGGGAATTCTTATACAGTTATTGATCTTTATAGAACTAAAGGTGGTTTTTTTTTCCCCATTAGTAAAAAAAAAAACCAAGAACCCAAAAAAGAAAAGGAACATATTTAGGGAAAGAAAAAATTGTAATAATTATTTCTGCTAAAAATCTGGCATTCAAAATATAATTTTAAATTCCACCTGCAAAAAAGTTAACGGTCAAAAAAGTGCACTAGTAGCACCTGAAAAATCTGTCCAAATTCTCTAATAATCAAAGAAACATTTTTTTAAGTTAACTGAGACACTACTTCCTATCCATTCATTTGGCCAAGGGAGTGTTACTTTTTTTAAAGGGGTAAAACTAACTGTTGGTGGAACTTTGGAGAAACAGGTGGGCTAAAGCCTCCTCCCTCCTGCCTTCCCTGTTACTGTAGAGGACAATGCTGTCCTCCTAGTCCCTCAGGCTCACAATCTAGGAGTCACCCTGCACCAAGCTGCTGCCAAAGCCTGCAACTGAACCTTGGCAATGCCTTTTGTAGATTCCACCTTTGCACCATCTCCCCAGTAAGACGTCTCCTCTCCTCTGACACTACCCCTACTCTGGTATAGACTTTAAAGACCTCACAGTTGGGCAATTACAATCTCTGCCGGGAGTGTCTGCTTACCTCTACCTTTAGTCTCTCCGCACTCCAATACACCATCTAATCAGCTACCAGAGATTTCCCTAAAGCACAGGTCTGACCATGTCACTCCCACTACTCAATAAACTCCAGGGACTCCCTCTTGCCTCCAGGAGCAAATACAAAATCCTGTTTGGCATCAAAGCCCTTCATAACCCGGCCTCCTCCCAACTTCTGGTCTTCTTACACTTTACTCCCCAACACGTTCTCTTCAGTCTGGTGCCCCCGACCTTCTGGCTGTTCCACAAACAAGACCCTCCATTTCTCAACTCTGGCCACTCTCTGGCCGTCCCTTGTGCCTGGATGCTCTCTCTCCTCTGCTCTGACCACTGACCTCCCTGGCTTCCTTTACGTCCCAACTAAAACCTCACTTTCTACAGGAAGACTTTCCTCTTAATTCCACTGCTTTCCCTCTCTCAATGATGTCCTATTCATCCTGTACACAGCTTGCTTTATATATATTTGTTTGCATGTTGTGGCCCCTCTCCATTAGACTGTAAGCTCCTTGAGGGCAGGGACTGCCTAATGCCTCTTTTTGTATCCCCAGCACTTAACGTAGAGTAGGCACTTAATAAATGTTCATTGATTTGATTGAATGAATGAGTGCCACCTTTTTGCAAAGTATCATGGCAATATTCAGGCACCACTACAGAAATGTACATAACCAGACCCTTTCATGCACTGATCCTTCTAACAAGACTATATCAAAAGGATATTACAGAAAGAAAACAACTTTTACTACAAAAATATTCATAGCAGCTTTATTTGAAATAGCAAAAGGCTAAAACAACCCACGCATCCTGGATTATGGTTGAACACGTAACAGCACATGGTCGCTTCTGTCATTTAAGAACAAAATGAAATAAGGGAAGACCTTTTGTAGCAGGAAGAAAGCAGACTACGAAGGTGCACTCTGTCTACACCTAGATAAAAACCTGCTTCCCCCACTTACATAATCCTAAGAAATATACAGAAGAAAGAGCTCACCTGAGAATGTGGAAGAAAAAAGACAGTTTAAGTTTTTGTTTTGTTACTGTGCATATTAAAAAGAAAGGGGATGGTCAGCTGTGGAAAGGAAATGACTTCTATATACTGGGGACAAGACAGGCAATTGATTACATTAAAATGAAACATTCTGGCAAAACAGAACACTCCAACATAATTAAAAGTAAATGCTAATAGCATGCATGACACACACAAACCTCACACCTGAAATCTATGATGTGGGCATGTGATTTTTTCAGTGTGGGATTTCACTCAATGCCAGGGTTTTGTTTTGTTTTGTTTTGCTTTTTGGCGAGGCAATCGGGGTTAAATGACTTGCCCAGGGTCACACAGCTAGTAAGTGTCAAGTGTCTGAGGCCGGATTTGAACTCAGGTCCTCCTGACTCCGGGGCCGGAGGTCTATCTACTGTGCCACCTAGCTGCCCCTAATGCCAGAGGTTTTGAACCTTTTTTGAGTCAGGGACCCCTACAGCAGTCTGAAGAAGCCTACAGACCCCCTCCTCAGGATAATAACGGTTTTGAATGCATAAAGTAAAATGCAGATGATTACAAAGCAAACCAACTGCAAGGAAATAAAATACAGTTATGTTCACTGACCCCAGGGTAAGAACCCCTGCAGATTACAACCTATCTATAACTCTGTGTTAGAGAGCTGCCCGATGAGCACAGGGGTTAAGGTGCATGCCCGTGCTTACCCCCAGCCAGCAGGACATGGGGTCGAGCAGGATAGAAGGAATTATTAAAAATGTACGAGGGTAACTCCCAAGCCACAAAGGACAAATGATTAAAGAAGATGAACAATTTTCAAAAGAAAACACAAACTGTTAAGAATCTCTTTAAAAAAAATTCTGCCTCACGATTAATCAGGGAGGTGCAAAATAAAACAATGCCAGGGCACCATCTGAAATCATTCAGATTGCACCCCTCCCCCCAAAAAAGATGAAAAGCACCACAGTTCGATTGTCAGGGTGAAGGGGAAACAGGCAGTCATTCGCGGCAGAGTGATTGTACGTGGTCAGTCTTCTGGGTAGCCCCGCGACAGGATATTACAAATATAATCACATGCTTGGAACCAATAACTTTGTTTTGGGGCATCTGTTCTGAAAGCATTACCAAAAACTGTGCCCGCAAAGCTACAAAAACTGTGCCACAACCTCGCTGTCTAAGGATAAGGAAATGGTTAGAAATATAATGCCATTCGCTTTGCAGCGTTCAGGCCGCAGGAGTGACGGCCAGGGCACCACGTCAGACACAGAGGCTAAGCCTTCAAGTCCGGAAGAGCTGGATTCAGATTCAGCCTCTGACACCTGGTAGCTGCATGGCCATAGACAAGTCACAAAGAGTGGCCAATCTGCACCGGTGGGGTGCGTTCCCACACTGTGAGTTCCCTATACGGATGACATGACAAGTCTGGAGTATATAAGAAAAGTGAAATAGAACGCCACAATGCCATTAAGGCATAGGCAATAAAAGTATCTGCAAAGACCTTTAAAGAATCATGCAGAGGGGCAGCTAGGTGGCGCAGTGGACAGAGCACTGGCCCTGGATTCAGGAGGACCCGAGTTCAAATCCGGCCTCAGACACATAACACTTACTAGCTGTGTGACCCTGGGCAAGTCACTTAACCCCAATTGCCTCACCAAAAAATTAAAAAAAAAAAAAAAAGAATCATGCAGAACAAAAGTGGCAGAACCAGATGAACAGAACACACCCAAACCGACCATAAAACAGGAAAGGGACTGGCCAGGAACGGACAAAGAAAGAATCCTGGGGGACTGCAGCACTGAAGTTAATGGATGAACATAAATAAGTTAGCGGTAAGTTTCAGACCCAGCGCCGAGGTTGAGCTCTTCAGCTCTCGGTCAATCGCCATACGCCCACATCAAAACAAACCCCAGCCACAGACACCCCTTCCAGCGTGGCCCCTGCCCCTCTCTGCATGCACGCACATCACGCCCCATCGAGAAGGGCCCTGGGACCCCTCAGGCTGTCCCTTCCCTGTGCCCCCCCCAGGACATCCTGGGATCCTCGCATCTGGCACGCTCTCTCCCTCCAAGATGCAGCTCCTGCAGGGCCCACACTAAGTCCTCCCTGCTCCCCTCCCTGCCCTGTGCTCATCGTGGCTATCTGTGTAGTTCTAGGTATGCCGCCGTGTCTCCCGATGGACTGACTGTACCCTTCCCGAGGGCAGGAACTGGAGTCTCTTTTGTATCCCCGTGCTTGTTGCAGGGCCTGGCACAGAACAGATGCTTCATAAGGGCTCAGAGATCATTTGATCACTAATAAAGTTATTTTTTAAAATGAGATAATGAATGAACAGTCAAGGGAGGTAAAGAAGGCTGACGGCTGCTGAGGGTAAGGTGACCTCCAAAGAAAATGGAAGAAAGCGATCCCTGCTGTCTCTGTGAGCCTGGAGGGATGGTGAATTCGATTAAACCACAAGCATTTCTCAAGCACTTACCATGTGCCAGGAACCGTGCTAAGCGCTGGGATGCATATACAGAGAAAGAGACAGTTCCTGCCCTGGAAGTTCACAGGCAACAGAGGCACAGAGAACAGGCTCCCAGGCAGGAACTAGAAAACAAGCACAACAGAAAAGGGACGGGGGAGGGGAAGCAGGGGGAGGTGACCCTTGAGCTGAGCCTTGAAGGAAGCCCGGGGTTCCAAGAGCAGAAGTGAGGAGGAAGGGCATCCCAGGCAAGAGGGGCAGCTAATGAAAAGGCTTGGAGTGGCGGATGGGCATGCGAAGGGCAACGGGAAAGAAGGCAGGCTGTCTAAAACATAGGACGCGTAATGGTAACTGGCCTGGAAAGGAAGCTTGGAGCCCTCCGATGCCCAGCAGAGGGATGTGGCACTAGAGAGCCACACAAAGTTCTTGAGTAGGCAGTGAAATGTGGTCAGACCTGTCCTGGAGGTCCTCGGTGTGGAGACGGCCGGCCCGTGGGTGGCTGAGGTGTCGGGAAGCTCTGGCCCAGTCCCGCCCTCAGCCCCACTCCATGGGTCTAGGGGAGCTTGGGACAGAACTCCCTGCCCAACGGCTTAAAAGGGCTGCCCACAGAATGACCAGCCGGGATGGCGTCTGCGAGGTCCAACCTACCTGGCTTTCCCTCACTCACCTGGCCAGCTGACTGCCGGAGCCGCTTCCTCGGGCACCCACGGGCCTTCCACTCGCTCCAGCTGCTTAATCACATCTGGTTTGGAGGCTGCAAGCCCTGCTCATTGGAAATGGGAAAGTGCCAGCTTCAGAGACATACCCAACTAGAATCCCTGTCCCTCTTCTCTTTGGGGACAAATAGATGCACTAGGAGCCCAGGGGGCAGGACAATGGACCACGAAGGACACAAGACTGCATCCCTAGGAAGAAAGGGGAAGTGGGTCACAGGGTCAATCTGAGCCAAGAAAGGAAATCCGTTCATAAGACCCAAGGGATGGGAAGGCTTCACATCTGTGGGCAGCTGTCCTGGGACTTTAGGGGAGAATCTTTGACCTAAGGAAACAGAGTCTGGAGGAGGCCCAACCTTGGGACGACATAACCGCCCACTACTGCCGCAGGAATCCTTTCCCTGGGGTCCACAGAGCTTCTACAAGTGCACTCACAAGCTGGGCGTGGTGGCGGATGGCTCTACTCCCTACTTCTGGGGGAGGGGGTCATGTTTGAGGCTGAAGGATTCTCGAGTTTGGGAGAATTCTGAGATGCAGAAGGGTGAAAGGTGATTGGGTGTCTGCACAAAGTTAGGTACCAACGTGGCGAGTCCCCAGGATGGGGGGCCACTGGGATGCCTAGGGAGGGGCCAGAGAAACAGAGCAGCATTAGGACTGGGCCCATGAGAGGCAGCTGCCCTGCCAGCCCAGGCAAGACAGAGAAACCCAATCTCAAAAACAAAAGCAGTCACAAAGACCCCACCACATAGTAAAGGAAGTGCAACCCTCCAAAAGGGCAGCTTCTGAGGCCCAGGGAGTCATCTTTACCCAGCCAGACCAGGTTCCTGTAGTTCTCCAGCATCACGTCCCTGTACAGCTCCTTCTGGGAAGGGCGCAGGCGTCCCCACTCCTCCGGGGTGAAGTCCACAGCCACGTCCTTGAACGTCACGGACGCCTGAAACAGCAATACACTTGTGGGTACCACCTGAGAACTATGTGGCCCGTGGCCTGGGAGGAAAGAAGATCAGAGGAATGACGGGGCGCAGGTCACAAGGCTCAGCGTGTTCCATGCCAGGTGTTTAGAGAGAGCCTTCTGTATGCCTAAGTCTGCACCAGAGTTAGAAATAAGAGCAGCTGTGCTGACACCCCACGTTGGCCATGACGAGTCATCTTCTGACTACAACACGGCGTTCCAATATTCATGATCCCAGAGTCACAGAGGGAGGGGCGGGAGGGTCAGCGGTGCCAAAGGGAAGGTCTGTACCACGTCCCACGGGCGCTTCTCGTCCTGCCGGGACAAAGACCTTCACGAAACAAGAGGGAGCTGACCACGGCGGCGCTGGCGGCTTGCGCCAGCTTCGGGCAAGCTTTCCTCCAGACCAAGACTAAACCCACCTCTGCCATCCGTCGCTCCTCATTCTGCCAATGAGACCAAATCGATCCCTTCCCCCACGGTGGCCTTCCAAAGCTTGCAAACAGCCAGCCTCCCTCCCCAGTCTCGTTACGTAGACGCCCCTTTCTTTCAGGCACACTCTGTGCTTGGCCACTGTCCTAGCAAGGAGGGGAGTGGGGAGTGCCCATCTATTCCAGGAAGCGGAGGCCACGGCAGGAATCTGGGAGGGCCACAGGGAGACCCAGGAAGACGATGGCACCCAGAAGTGCCGCAGGGGGCCATGGGTCCTGGCTCGGGTTGGAAACTGGAGAGAAGAATAAACCAGAAGTACCCTGACCAGCATCAAGAAGTATCGTGTACCTGGAGAGCCCCCAAAAGAAGCAGTCACAAACACATATCAACTGCAGCTGATGACTCAAAGGAAAACAGTGCGGATTTTCTGAAAGGATTCCCGCTGCCACTGCTGCTCAGTCACATCTGACCCTCCCTGGCCCCATATGAGGGTTTTCTAGGCAGAGATCCTGGAAGGGTTTGCCATTTCCATTTCCAGCTCATTTTACAGACGAAGAAACTGAGGTAGACAGGGTGAAGTGACTTGCCCAGGGTCACCCAGCTAGTAAATGTCTGAGGCCGGATTTGAACTCAGGAAGGTGAGTCTTCCTGACTCCAGGCCCAGGGCTCTCTATCCACTGTTCTACCTAGCTGCCCCTGAGGAGATTACATGAAGCAAAAGACAAAAAAATGAAAGGAGGAAAGAAACAGAAGGAAGACAGACTAAAGCAGGAAGTGGTAAACTCCACACCCCAGGTGAGAAACTTCCAGAAAATGAGGGCAGACCAAAGTCAGAGAGAAATCATGGGACAAAAGTGCAACGCTGAACAACCAGAAGAAAACGCAAGATACCAGATACGAAAAACAACCGACCCAGAAAACGGGCCAAGGAGAGATAATCTGAGACTCCGTGGGCTTTCTGAACACCACGAGGGTGGAAAGCCCGGAAGAGCACTATGGTTCGGATCTGTGAACAAGCCTGACCAGAACAGAGGCCAGAGGGAAGGCGGGAGAATCAGCTGTCTCCTGAAACATCCCCCAAAGCCCAGGAACAAGGCAAAGGACAAAGCCCTCACCGGGGCACGAGGGGCAGGAGAAGGGGTGGATGGCAACGGTGAGGGACGATGCAAGAGAGAGAGACAAGCCGTGACACTGACCTTGAACGCGCAATGCCTGGCGTACAGCACACACTCAACATTTGTGGACTGACTGACATGGACTCCTTTCAGAAGTAACAATCAAACACCACGGACAGCACACGATCTACAAATGTGCCATGGCTGCTCCTGAATTCCTCTGGTCTTACAGTGGGAGGGGAAGAGAATGGGGGCAGAGAGGAGCCAGGCTCCAGCACTTACTATCAGGACACTCCTAGACAAGGAACGTCTCCCCTCTGACACTCAGTTTCTTCATCTATAAAATGGGGATGTTATTTTTGAACACCCACAAGCTTCTGTGAATCATATTTTAAATCTTCAAGTGGGGTATAAGTATTTTCTATCATTATTAAGCATTTGTGACATCCCTCTCAGCAGCCAGCTCAGTCCAGGGCATAGGGTGGGACTGAATTCCTTGACAAAGGATGGAGAGGGGAAGGCAGGGACAGCAGGCAAAGAGGAAACACCCGGAGGAAAGGGCTGGAGGTGCTGCCTAGGCTGCTTACAACCTGTGTGACCCTGGATGGGTCCCTGCCCCTTCCTGGGCCTCAGTCTCCTCCTCTGTAAAAAGAGGGGACTGCACACAAGATCTCTAAGGCACCAGCTCAGCCTGGTTCCCGACGGGCTCCGTTTCTTGAACCAGAGGATATGGGAAGGGAACATATTTCCAACCGGAGAGCTAAGGTATTTATTTCAGAAAAAAACAAAAACTACTCCCGCTTACCTGGTGAGCCACGGGAGGGAGAAGGACAAGGGCCATGGCTTTGCTCAATGCTTTCACGTCGGGGGAAATTGAGACTCCTCAGCCGTCAGCCCTGGGGAGCAAAAAGCAGACATCAGAGGAATTGGCCCTGCTGTGTTTAGACCCACGGCCCGGAAATCCTAACATTCTTCCTGGTTAGAGAGAGATCAGAGGGAGCTCACGGACTAGTCCAACCACTCCACTCCATTCCATCCAACCAACACAAATGAAGCACCTACTAAGTGCAAGGCACTGTCCTGTCCACTGAGGAATACAGGAACAGAAACAGAGCAGTGCCTGTCCTCCCAGAGCTTACATTCCACTGGGGGAATAGAACATGTACAGACAGGAAAAAGGAGATACTCAGAAAATGGAGAAAGTGCTAAGAAGTGGAGGGGGAAGCACGGATTTCACGGCAGATCTGGCTGCAGAGATGAGGTCTGAAGGATGGCAAGGATCGCCAGGGACAGAGGTGGGCAATGAAAGCCTTCCAGGCGTGGGGGCTGTGGGGACACGAGGGAAGAGCGCGGAAGGAGGACACGGAATGTCAAGGGCAGAAAACACCTTCCTGTTCCAGTCTGGCTGGGAGATCGAGCAGGTAAGGAGAGTCACGGGAAAGGAATCTGGAAAGAAGACTGGAGTTTGATTGTGGGGGCCCCTGATGTCAAGAGGAGGAGTCTATATTCTGTCCTATGGGTGCCAGGGAACCTCTGCAGCTTCTGAGCGGACGACGGAGGGACGGAGGTGCTCCCACCTGGACTGTGGGCCTGGATCACTGTGGCAGCTGCACGGAGGACGGATTTGAGAGGGGAGAACAGGAGTTCCTAATCTTTTTTGTTTTATGGATCCCTTTGGCAATCTAATGAAGCCTGGGGACCAGTTCTCAGAATAACATTTCAAAATTAATCAAACACATAGGATTACAAAGAAAATCAGTTATACTGAAATCCCTTATTAAATATTTTCCCCCAATACACACAAGTTCAAAGGTCTTTGGTTAAGAACAAGGAACAAGGAGGTAGACTGAGAGGTAGAAGGAGGGAGACGGAGAGAAGGAAAGACAAGTATGAGGAAGAACAGAAAAAAAAGAAAAGGAAGGAGAAAGACAGGGGACAAAGGGGGACAACGACGGGGAAGAGAAGGGAGGGACTTGAAGAAGGGGAAGAAAAAGATGTTAAGAAGGGAAAACGCATGGGGAAAATGGGAAGAGAGGGAGGAGGAACAGAGTGAAAAGACGTTTACAAGCACTTGCTATGTGCCAAGCGTCGGGCTAAGTGCAGGGAACGGACCGGGGTGGGCTCCGGCACCTCCAGCCGAGAGGACGAGTGTGAGCTGGAGGGCGTCCACAGAAGTGACAGGCCACTCACTCAGCCCCTTGTCTCCCGGGTCAACCACTCGAGGCCACGCCCTCGTCTCTTCCAACATCATCTCTTCCAGAGGCCTGTGAACTGCCCTCCCTGGGCCTGGTCTCTGCCCTCATTGACTGACTCTCCAGAAAAATGACTGAACTGGTTCTTCTGACACTTGGGTCTGGCCCCGCTGTGCCTCCACTCAAGAAGCTGCCACCGGGGCCCCCCACATCTGTGCTGCTCCTCAGGAGAGGACCCCCCCACCATTTCCCTTCCCCAGGCCTTTGCACTGGCTGCTCCCCACGCCTGCAATGCCCTTCCACATCTTGGCCTCTTGGGGCCCGAGGCCCACAGTGGTCAGAGCCCCACCCCAATTACTGTGCGTTTATATGGTGTGCATCCTGGAAGCAGCTAGGCGGCACGGATGAGAGGCTGACCCCTGCCTAGCAACGACGAGAGCCGTGCGTAAATCTAAAGCTGCCCAGTAAAGGTGGCTCTGACAACAAGAAAACCTTGTTATTTTAGCCAACACTCACCATGTCCTTGACTGTTGCAAGCTAAGCTCTCTGTTTTGTGACCACATCCTTGACCTTTTGAGATGCACCCAGCACACCTGCTTCCCCTTCGCTGTGGCTAACTGCCCACGCAGGCGCACATCCCACTCCTGGCTGTGTACCAAAGACTAGTGTAGGAAAACAAGCCCCTCTTTTCTCAAACTGCCAGTACCCTTAAGACTAGCCCGCTGCTTTTGTGTCAACAAAACCCTCTTGACTAGGAGAACATCTGCCTGCTGAATTCTTTCCCAACAACCTGACTCTGAACCTCGCAAACCTCATCAGCAGGAGGCACTGAACAACAGCCTTTGGAAGGAGGGAGCTCTGAGTTCAAATCTTGCCTCCGATGTGTGACTTCTCTCAGCCTGAGTTGCCTTATATGCAAAGTAGGGAGAATAACAGCACCTCCCCTCAAGCATTGTTAGCATCATGTAGAAAACATGTAAAGTGCAATATAACATTATCTATTTTCATATTATTACATGCTGCCCCGCTCCCCATCCCGCCTAAGGGGAAATAATCATCCCTGTTTTGTCTCTGTTCCCTCAGGTTAAGTTTGGGGGCCTAATCAGTTCCAAATGGCTTTAGCACTGTCTGGCTCCGAGAAGCCTTTATTAAATGCTTGCTGACTTGACTACTTCCCAGAATGCCCAGGCCAGCGACGTCAACTCCACCAACAATGCATGAGTGTGCACCCGTTTGCCGGCAGCTCCTCCAGCATCTGCCCCTTTAGTAACGAGGAAGGGGCCGCTGTCTGGGCATAAGCACAAGATGCTTCTGGGTGTTTGCTGACTGACAGCAGAGAGGCCTCGAGTCCAGGCCCTTTGTGGGCGGATGTCCAGCCTGGGCAAGTGAGAAAGGGTCGTCACGTGGTCCGGGGGGGGGTTGCGTGGCAGCACCAGGGTCGAGGTGGGGAAATTTTGGGCAGGTCGAGGAGGGAGGAGCAGGGAGGTCACAAGAGAAGAGTGTCAAGGCAAGAGCCAGCGGCGGCGTCTGATTGGGTCCCAGTTCCAGCCCCGCCCTCGCGCCGTCCAATGAACGCGCCAGTTGGCAGAGAGGGCGGGTAGACAGGCAGGGGAGGAAGTGCGCAGGTGCAGCTGGCTCGGCCTTTCCCCGCCCCCACCCGAGTCCAGGCACAGCAGGAGGGAAGCCAAGAGGCGCGGGGCCCGAGGCCGTGCCTCCTCCTGCAGCGCGGCATCCGCCAGGCCCTACCTCGGTCCCAGGCGGGGTCTCCCCTGGCCCGGGCTGACCCGGGGCCCGCATTCAAATAAGGCGCCAGAGGAACCGAGCGGCCACGAGCAGCAGAAGGCCGGAACCCGGAAGTGACTGGTTTCCGGTGGCAGCTAGGTTGTTGTGGCGGAAGTGACGTCACGAGACGTATACTGATCGTCATCTACGACGGGTTGCTGGGAAAAGTAGTGCGGCGGTCAGGAGGGGCTTATGCGCATGCTCTCTAGAGCCCCCCACCCCCACCCGGAAATCCGTGTCCCTTTAGTCGCCCCGGAGGAAAGAGAGGCAGGGAGCAGTGTGGAGCCGCCGACGCTCGGTGCCGGCGCAGGAGGTGACAGACCCCGCGGCGCGGCTCCATCGCGCCCGGACCCGGGCGCCTTCTCCTCGCCCTCTGGCCCTGTAACCGCCGCGGAGTCAACGATCGCCGCTGCTGCCGATCTAATCTAACTAAAGAAGAAGGGAGGGGGGAATCACATCGTGTCAGCGGGGCGCGCACGTGCAAAGAAGGAAGGCGGGGGGAGTGGGCAACGGTGAATCTAGTTTTCACATTTTATTTATTTGTGTATTAATTTATTTTGGTTTATCAACAATCACTTCCATAAGCTTTTCACTTTTAAATTTTTCTCCCCCTCCCTCCCCAAGAAGGCGCGCAATCTGATATAGGCTCTACATATACATTCCTATTAAACATATTTTCATATTAGTCATGTTGTAAGGAAGAATTAGAACCAAGGGGAGGAACCACAAGAAAGAGGAAACAAATCAAAACAGAAGAAGAAAAAATAGCAAATAGTATGCTTTGATCTGCATTCAGACTCCACAGTTCTTTCTTTGGATGTGGATAGCATTTTCCATCATGAGACTTGGAGATGTCTTAGGTCCTTGCCTTGCTGAGAAGGGCTCAGTCTATCAAAGTCAGTCATCGCACAGTGTGGCTGTTACTGTGTACAACGTTCTCCTGCTTCTGCCCCCTTCACTCAGCGTCAGACAATACAAGTCTTTCCAGGTTTTTCTGAAGTCTGCCTGCTCGTCATTTCTTAAAGCACAGTAGTATTCCATTACATTCATATACCACAACTTGTTCAGTCATTGCCCAGCTGATGGGCATCCTCTCAATTTCCTATTCTTTGCCACCACAAAAAGAGCTGCTATAAATATTTTTGTACATCTGGGTCCTTTTCCCATTTGTATGATGTCTTTGGGATACAGCCCTACAAGTGCTATTGCTGGGTCAAAGGGTAGGCACAATTTTATCCCCTTTGGGCATACTTCCAAATTGCTCTCCAAAACGGTTGGATCATTTCACAACTCCACCAACAATGCATTAGTATTCCAATTTTCCCACATCTCCAACATTTATCATTTTCCACGACAGTGAATCTTTCATCTGAATTAGTCAAAGGGTGGAAGAGTACACCTCCTCATCCCCCAGAGTTGTGTGCTAAAATACATTTCTCTCAGTAAGGAAAAGGGGATGGGGTAGAATAAGAGGGAGAATAGGTTATTAGTCATAAGCAAATTAAATTCTAACCATATGGGGTGGATCATAAAAAAAGAAAGAATAAGAAATTGTGTTCGGGTTTTGGGCAAAGGTAAGAGAAGAAGGATATGGTTCCACATATGGATGGTATCCTGCTGGCTGGTGGAGAACCTATTTTCTTGGTGTAAATTGTTAAGCCAAATTTAGCACAAGCAGCTTATTATTTCTTTCTCACCTTATTATTAAAGAAGGGGCAGGAAATAAAGAGAAGGAAATATAAGAGAAAAGGTTGGAAGGAAATGACCAATTAATGATCATAACTGAATGTAAAGGATGAATTCACCAATAAAAAGGAAGTAGATACCAGAATGGATTAGAAAGTAGAATACAATATGTCTAAAAGAACAATTGAAACATCAAGATTCGAACAGAGGGTGAAGCAAAACTTCTCTTCACTTGTTTTACTTAAGCAGAAATAAAAAAGTAGAAATCATGGAGTATCAGAGAGTAGAAATCAGTATCTCAGAGAAGACAAAAGCAAAAAGAGACTTCATTAAAAGATAAACAGGGAAAATACATTTGGCTAGCACAATAGCGAATGAATATTAATAAATTTTAATGTCAGAGGATGTAATACACAAATGAAAAGTTCAGTAAGGTATAGGGATCAATACACAATGAAACAACAGTGGGGAACTTTAGGTTATCCTTTTGGATCTAGATGAAGCTAACAAAAACAAAAGTAAGAAAGAGTTTAAGGACCTGAATTGAATTTTAGAAAAGTTAGGCATCATGGATTTCTAGTGATTATTGAATGGTAATAGGAAATAATACATTTATTTCTTAGGTGCACATGACAGTTTTACAAAAACTAACAATATATTAGGACGTAAAAAACCTCAAGTAAATGCAGAAAAACAAAAATATTAAAGATATCTTTTATAGCTCAATATAGATTTTATGGATCAATGTTAAGTTTGTATAAGATATAGATCAAGTTTAACTTTGAGGGGCTTGGGAAATTGGCCTGAGGTGAGAACTATAGGGTGGGACAGGACTAGCCTTTAGCCCAGGCAGAGACCCCTGGATGGTGGGAGGTCATGTGTATGTGTAAACTCAGCTAAAACAAGAATTGTAGGTGACTGGCAGAGGGGCTTGGTAAGGTCTTGGCTCTGGGTCATGTCTCGCTTCTATCCTAAACCCAGACACCCATGGGAAACTGGATAAAGTGTGTCCTATGACCCAGACACAGCAGGGTTTTTTGGTTTTTGTTTTTTTTTAAACACACTCAATCTTTGTCCCTTCTAAATCAAAAGAAATCGCCCATAGCAAACGCTCAATAAAGGCTTGTTTCCTTCCCCTCTCTATATGTACGGTCACACACATTTTAGGAATGTGGAGGGACATATCCATTGCTATGCACCTAGTGTCAGTGGCCAAATTCTAACCTAGCTTTTCTTTACTCCCAGTCCAGTCATGGGCAGCCACTGCCCACTTCATCTCAGGCCTCTTCCAAATCTCACATTCTCTCAATCTGCCAGTCTTCCGTCCTTCTCTCATGGCTTTTCCCACCTTCTCCTCTCTTCTTTCTCCAAACTCATTCTCCCTCACTCCATTTTCCAGAGAAGGGGGCCCAAAACAGAGCCCTGACGGACATATTTGGTTAGGGGTTGTGATGGAAAGAGAATCCAGCAAAGGAGACAAAGAAGTAGCCTCTGGTCAGAGAGGAAGGAGGAGAACCAGGAGGAGAGTGAGGGCTGAAAACCTAGAGAGGAGAGAGAATGGAGATAATGATTAACAATGTCCAAGGCTGCGGAGAGATCAAGGAGAGTAAAGATTTAGGAAAGCCCTCTGGATTTGGCAGCTAAGAGATCACTGGTCACTTGAGAGAGAATGGTTTCAGTGGAGTGATGAGGTCAGTAGCCGGATTTATGGGAGACGTTCTGAGAGCTTGTGGCAGGGGAATGGTCCCTCTCATGATTTCCTTTTCTTCCCTAGCTCACTCTGCCTTTTGAGGTCTTTGTGTGGCCCCAGTAGTGGGGAACACCAAGGAGAAAGAAATGGTCGCCACCCTCCTGACATTCAAAGACAACCTGGTGAGTGGTAATCTTGTCTTTTCTGAAGTGTGGACACGATTGTTTCCCATTTCTTCTAACCGAAGACATCGCAGCCATCAGAGAGACAGGGTACAAAGGGCACTCCGAGATGATCGATCTCATCCCCTTAAGAAGAAAAATGACTTAGCTAAGGCCACTCGGGTGGTGGCCTCCGAGCCAGGGTTTGGATTCTGGTTCACACTTCAGTTCCAAATCCCAGCCCCTTCCCAGGCGGTGCTCCCTCCCTTAGGGGTGCAGGCCTTTGGGTCTTCTCACCCCCTTTGTGGTACCCTTCCTTCTTTTGTTAAGGCATGCCCATGTAGAGTTTGCTCAACCTTGCTATTGGTGCTGTGAGGAGCACATGAAAGGTAACAGGGCTAGGCATATTGGCACATGCCTGGAGTCCCTGGGGTCTCCTGGGCTGAGATGTTGGCAATGGTCTGGCACCAACATGGCGCACCCCATGTTGGCTGAGGAGCAGCAGACCATCCCAGGCCAGGAAGGGAGGTGTCAGGGAGTGGCTAAACTGGGCGCATGAGTGGCCATGGTAAGTCCAGTCTGGGCGAGAGTGGAGATGCTGCCTCAAAAAAGAAAGACAAAAGAAAAATTAAAGAGTTGGAAAGTCCTTCAGCAGCCACTGAGTGCACACAAAATCCCCTCTACATACACCTGATAAGCAGGCTGGAACCCCTTCCTGAAGACCTCCCGTGACAGGGAGCTCAGCACCTCCCTAAGGAACCTAGCTCATCATTGGCCTTCCTGAATAACAGTGCTCAGAACCGAACATAAGACTCCGGAGGTGACCAGACCAGGGCCACCTTCAGGAGGACTTTCACTTCCTTAATCAATCACAAGCATTTTCTCAGTGCCTCCTATGTGCTGTGTGAATAAAACTATCTGTACTACGGAGATCGTTCATCCTGGGAGCTAATGATGACAAGTGCGTCGACCACAATTTAATGTTTAAAATAGGAACTGGAAAGACTTGGGGGTGATTTGCATGAAAGTGAATTCCACATGGGAGCAAAGACTAAACCAAGGACATACAGATGGTGCATTTGGGAGCTGGGACTCCAGAGGGCAGAATAAAGAACAGACTTCTAATTTCCTCCAATTTCTCATTCCCTTTGCTCACAGACTAGAGGAGACCAGAACTAATTAGTTTCTTCATTTTTGCTACTTGTGTATTTCTTGTGTTAGTTCTGCATTGCATAATCGGAGCAGAAGATGGCAGCCTGTAACGATGTCTGCTTCTCCCCTACCCCTACCCCTCCTTTTTAAGTCCTTTTTCCAGCTTGGCCCGGGTAAGGGGCTAACCTGGCCCTCAGTAGTGGAACGAGGAGCTGCCCACAGTGACGAGCCCTCCTCCGAAGGCCTGGCCCTGGAACCTAAAGTCGAAAAGGCCTGCATGGAATGAATCCTGCCCAGTTAGTTTAGCCTGGAGGGAGCTGGAGACCAGGGCTCTGTAGGGCATGACGGGGGC